AGCCCAATACATTTCTTAAGTTCCAGACATGAATTTCCACTAGCTATTGGACATTTCCGATTATCTACCAAGTTCAGTTCATAGTGTTTACTTGTTGCTAAAAAAAGATACTGACTGAAGGAGGGAATGGATTACTGTACCACAGCCACCACAATTTAGCAGAGCCAGAGTCAACTCATTATCTTTCAGAAACTTCTTGTTCCTCCTTTATTTCCTTCCTTAGGTAACAGCATCACTGTGAAGCAGTTTGCAACATTAAAAATCTGAGTCATCCCTGACTCATTATCTACTGACCACAGTTAATGTATCACTAAGTCCTCCCATTTTTCTTTCTTAAATATCTCTCAAGTACTCCATCTCCTTTTAGCCATCCTTTGCCTCTCCCTTATTTCAGGGACGCTTTATCTCTCGCCCAGATGGTGGTAATAGTCTCTTGATTTGTTCTATCTCTTTCTCTCTAATTTATTTGCCAAGTTGCCACAGAATATTCTGAATCAGAAATTCAATCCTGACATTATTTTGCTTAAATATCTCAATTTGGTGCATGGTACCCTGTACAAAGAGGGATCTGAAAGATTCCAGAAATATACCTAGAAGGTAGTGAGCTATTTTTCTAACCTCATCCCCCACCTCTCTCCCCAATCTAACCCATGTTTTTGTCCAGTGCTTCTCAGCTGAAGACCCCTAAGAGCCAATGGGCATGAAATCACAGCAATCAGAGGTTGGTAGTAGGCTGATGGTAAAAAGGATTATAGCTGAAGTAGACTTCTATAACTGAGATATATTTGTTTGCTGTAAAGAATTCATGAGGTTTTTGCATTCCACTCTACCATGTATTTGTGTTTAATTTTTTAAAAATGTCTGAAGTCCCTATTAACTACAACTGACATAAAATAGAATAAACACAAAGAAACCCTGGGTGACTGTGACAGGCTCATCTCCTGGCTTCCCATAGCCTCTGCAATATAGCTGCACAGACCCAGTTATTGGTGTGTTTCAGGCTGAGAGCCAGAGCTCTGATGACACATGGCCCCCGACCACACCCCTGTGCCCAGCCCTGTCACAACTGTGTGTCTGCCCATCCCACTGCCTCCATCCGTACCTGTCCTTCACTCTGTAATACCTTTCTGTGTCTTCATTACTTGGTAAACTTCTGCTTATTTTTCCAGACCCAACTCAAACGTCACCTTCTCTGTAAAGCTTACTGGTGCTCTATACAGGCATCCAGAAGAATTAGTCACTCTATCCTCGGTTTTTCCATTACAGCCAGTACTACATTGTGTTGCAGTGGCTTGTCCCCATGGGTGTCTCCCATCTGGACTTTATGGCAGGGATGCCATCTTGTTCCTTTCTACCCCCATTGTCTAACTCAGCATCTGACATAGGTGGTGTTTAATAAAATATATGTTATTAAAAAAAATAAAATATATATTGAATTATGTAATTGATTGACTATTCTTGAAGTCTGAAAGGCTCTCTTTTTTTTTTTTTTTTTTTTAGACAGAGCCTCAAGCTGTCCCCCTGGGTAGAAGCTCACAGTAACCTCCAACTCCTGAGCTCAAGCGAGTCTCCTGCCTCCGCCTCCCAAGTAGCTGGGACCACAGGTGCCCGCCACAACGCCCGGCTATTTTTTTGGTTGCAGCCGTCATTGTTGTTTGGCAGGTCTGGGCTGGGGATTCGAACCCGCCACCTTAGGTGTACGTGGCTGGCGCCTTAGCCGGTTGAGCTGAAAGGCGCTCTTTTAACAAAACCTGCTTTGTATCCTTCCAAAGATTTTCCCTTTCTGAAAAAAAATCCATAATCCTTTGCAGATTGAAGGAAGTGAGGGCTGTAACCTTGTGATTTGGATCAGACAAGCCTTTCTGTCATCTTTAGAGAAACCCCAAGGGGCTGTCCATTAAATGGAATGAGTCATAAGTCACAATACCAAAAAAGTTAGAAATTGAAGAGGAAATGTTTGGTGATTTCTTCATGTTGTAAACTCATGATTGACTGACCATCTGTCTTTCAACAGGAGTGGTAAGAGATGAAACATCACCTGGGTAGGCAGTGAACAATCACATGTGCTTTCAAGGGGTGCTGGGTTGAGTTTTCCTGAGATGTGAAGATATTTAAAAACTAAATTTAGTTTTATTAGTTGAGTGAAAATGTAATGAGACAAAAAGTCAGAAGGTAAAATACTTCTCTGAATCTTTAAGGACATCTTGGTGAACTTCAGATTGGGTTTACAAGAGGATAATCTGACCAATTGGCAAGTTAGACATTAGCTGTGGATTTTTACTAATTATTTTAATGAGTAATTCTACCAACCTCATATATATATGTGTATATATATATATATGTACATATATACATATATATATAGAGAGAGAGTTAGTTGAGAAACCAAGACTGGAGGATCCTATTTTATGCCTGGGAGGGAGAAGTATCCTTGTTTGAGCCCTGAACTGCTGAGATTACCACATGTTTTCCCAGTGTTTTGGGGGAAATTACCACAACCTACTGCATGAAGAACTGAGGAGCATTGCAGAAGAATATTCAGCTTTGGAAATAAGAAAACAAGATTAAAAAAAAAAAAAAAAACCTGACCGAGGAACAAAGATTTAGCTGTTGGAAAAATAGGCCAATGGTGGCAATTCTAGAAAAAAAAAGGGATTAAAATTTTAATGACAAATTAGAATATGCACAAACTAATGTGAAGGGAAAGGCATTATTATTACTTCTGTGCAAATGGCTTGATTCTACTGGGGAGGACACAGGCTGTACCTGGCTCCAGGAATTGTTAACCCCTTCCACAAAGGAAGGCAGGACCCTACAGCTGTTCTGCAGGCTGCAGGCAGCAGGTATCTCCAGAGGAGCCAAGGCAAGGACTGCAGAGAAAAATGTGGGACCTTGTAGTAGCAGAGTAGACTTATCAGTGAGCATAGGTGAGACTCCACTCCCTGCACCCTGAAACAGGTGATGGGAGAGGCCTTATATGGCGGTTACAGTCCCTACAATGTCATTGTGCATTAGTGATAATAGTTCTACGTGTATCATGATCATGCCATTAGAGACTTCAAACATTTTTAAAGCAGAGTCGCTTAAGTAATACTGTATTTAAGAAAATTGAAGCCTAAATTTGTCACTTTCTGGATGAAAGGCATTAGACAAGCTCTTACACTTTCTAAATTTCCTCTGCCAAATGATAATAGTTTCATCAGAGCCAAGGCAGATAAAAGGCAAAGCCAGTCACATCACCTCCCCAAGGACTTTGTTGAAAAGATATTAAATTTCCCCTAGAAAGCTGCAAATAAGCTGTCAACTAGTTGGGGTTTCCACAGGGGCTTTTATATATACCAGGAGAAAGGTAAATTTCTTTTGCTCTCAACCAAACAGATGGCTTTTGAAATAAAATCTATATTTTAAGTTTTTTTTTTTTTTTTTAGACAGAGTCTCACTCTGGCTACCTGGCCAGAGTGCTATGGCATTATAGCTCACAGCAACCTCAAGTTCTTGGGCTCAAGAGATCCTCTTGCTTCTGTTTTTCTATTTTTAGAAGAAATGGGGTCAAGCTCCCATGCAGGCTGGTCTCGAACTTCCAACTTCAGGTGATCCACTTGCCTTGGCCTCCCAAAGTGCTAGGATTGTAGGTGAGACCCACTGTGCCCAGCCTATGTTGAATATTTTTGCCACTTACAAATTATTAAGTTCAGAAAAGGTAATATGCCTGTCCCTGGGTTTAGTCAGCTTTAAAATGTAAATTTTGAACACTTTGCCATACTCCCCCAAAGTTGTGTAGTTTGGAAAATTGTGTTTAATATATTATTTCAAATGTAAAGAATATGTATGTTTGTTAGCAGAAATTGGTTCTTCCCTATTTGCACTAATAAGTGGTGAAACATTTTGAAGTATTAATATGAAGGGATGCCAGACTGTCAGCCTGTACAGATTGCTGGTAGATCTTAACCTCTCTCTTCCCCATAGCACTGGCATGAAAAGTCCAGCAGAGTGCTTTATCTGTGGTGTGTACTCAAAAAATAGTTGTTGAATTAGAATTAACCTTAAATTCTGCTCAGTGTGAATTTACAGACTTTGCCTCTGTCCTTTGGTGACCATGAAATGTAGATCTGGCTCTCCAACTGTGTACCAGACATTTCCACTTTGATGTCTAATACACAGTTATCCAAAGCATGGCCCTTGGGTCAGTGCCAACCAGGAAACATTTGTTACTAGCTCACTAGTTCATGAAGTATTTGTCACTCACCTGCAACAAAAGAAACTGAAAGGGTTTAAAATCTTTGTAGCAATTTGACAGAGTAACTTTATGCTATGTAAGAACAAAACTGAGGTGTGGATTTCAAATGCCTTTATTCCATTCTTCTGGCAGTTTGTTTGTCCTAAGCTCTCCCTGGCCCCAGCCCTGATCTCAAAACACATTCAAACCTGAGCTCCTGGCCCTTTCCACCTGCCTGGTCTCCTGTAGTCTCATCTCAGTTGATGGCAATTTTATCTTTATGGCTGATCACCAAAAGCTTGATGCCTCTCCTTCCATCCTTTAGGCTTGGGGGATGTATTTCCAACACCGAAGCCAGACAGATGCACTAGTTGGAGTGGGAGGGAACATCAGGGACACCTGTGTTTATATGAGGCACCAAACCAGCAGGAGGGCCGAGTGTGGGGGGTGTGCGGGGTGGGGGGGGCGGGGTGGGGACCTAGACTTGGAAGTAGCGATGCCCTGCCCCCACTCCTTTTACCGCCCCCCTCCCCCCAAGTGAGTGCAGTGTGGATGCAGCAAGGCTGGGGAAAGGAGCCGTGGGGGGCACAAGGCTCTCCACACGCTCACGTGGCCTCACAGTCACCCCCATACCCACAACCACGCACCACCCACACTCACAGGCCCAACTGTCCCCATTGGACTCAGCCTGACTGGGAGCCGCCAGGGCCTGGGCTCAGGTGACCCTCCCAGGGTGTCCATGGGACTCAGTTCTGTCGCTGGGACCCTAAGATTGCAGGGGTACCTTCATCCTTTCCTCCATGCCCCGGGGCGGGGGTCACAACATTGATCACGAAAGTGAAGGCGGCTGGCCCCACTGGGGGCAGGCGCTGTTGCAGGTATAGAAGCAGGGGTGCCTGACCTGGGGATCCTGGGCCAACGCGGTGGGACCAGGCAGGTGAGGAAGAGTCGGAGGCTCCGAAGTCCTCTTGGGATCTGTGAAGACTGGGTTTCCTTCCCGAGCTGGAGGTCGCAATGGTCAGGCGCAGCAGAGCGGGCGGCAGGCTGGGCAGGAACCCGAGGTCCCGGCAGAGGCGGCGGCAGTGGGTGCCCACTGATGCCATGCTGGGTTTAACGCACAGGCCAGGGCAGATCCGGGATAGTCCCTGTGCGGGGTGAGGCCGGAGTGCGCTAGTTCCCAATGCCAGAGGCTTCAAGTAGGGTCACACCCCAGTCGGAGCTGCTCTGATTTGTGCAGGAGAAACCCGCCGGCGGGCGGGCGGGCTCCCTCCGCTCCCAGAAGGGGCGCCAGCTGCGCCAGCAAGAGCTTCATTCTGGAGGGGATGAACGTCCCTGTCTCGGCACTCGCAATGCCGCAGAGCCCTGCCCTGCTCGCTGCGGGACACAGGAGCCCGCCGCCTCGCAGAGCTCCCCAAGCCTCCCACGCTGCAGACGGCGACAACCTCGGGGACTCCTCAGGATACACGTTAGTCCATCCTCTGCTCAAAACCTTCCAATAGCTCCCACTTCGCTGTAGGTAAAAGCCTAAGTCCTGACAAAGGCCTACACGGTCCTGCATAACCTGGGTTCTGTCACTGGCTTCGGGAGCCTTTGCTCCTGGCGGCTCACACCGCTGCAGACCCGTTGACGTTTTGGGGGTCACCCAAGCACACCCCGGCAGACAGCTCCTGTTTCTCTCATTGGCTGTTGCCTCTGCCTGGAAAACTTCACAGAGCTATCCTTAAAGATTTTGCTGAAATGTTAACTTCTCAGCGGGACTGACCCTCCACCCTCTTTAAAAAGCAACTTCCCTGCACTCCCCATTTCCCCTTCTCTGCTTTAATTTATTTATCGCCTTTTAACAACTGTACAATATGCTATTTATGTTCATTGACTGTCTTTGTCCATAAAAATGTAAATTCCACAGGCGCAGAGATTTTCTCTTTGTTACTGCTGCACCCCCAGGGTCTAAATCTATGCTCGGCATATGGAAGGTATGACACAAAAGTTCATTACATGGTTGGGAGCAATCATTTGGGAATGTCATTTGTCACTATTTATTAACTGAAACTGTGTACATCTAGCATTTGTACTCCTAGATATTTACCTTAGAGAAACGTCTACATTTTTAAGTATAGCTGATTGAAATTTCTTGAGTGTGGTCTTATTTGATTATGGCTAAATTGATGTGGCCTTCCAACGTGAAAAGCTTCCCTATCCCTACACCAGGTGATAGGAATTTTTCTTATGGGTTCGCCATCTTATACTTGGTCGTCCTTGACAGTGTCATGCCTTGCATGACTGTAACATAACTTTTTTTGGACCTTCTGGCAACACCGACAGCATTATATCAAATCATAGATTGAAATCACTAAATTAGGGTTTTATTTTGCTTCCAAAACTTATTTCTTAAAATTCATAGGATTAGCAGAATGCATTCTATGTGCATAAATGTATTAATGTTTGTTTTCTTTGCAAGAATGAGTCACTAGCAAGTCCAGAAGTAGACACTTATAACATGGCAAGTTAAAAGTCAAATTGACTGATTAGATCTTAACTGCTGCTCTTTTACAAACCCCTCTCCTGCTTTCTAGAAATGTTTACCTAAACTTTTACTTTGTAAGCATTTCCTTTCTTTTGACTTAATGTTAATATATTCCTTTGCACTAGTAACATAGTAACATCACTATGTTAATAATATTCCCCTTACATTGTTTTGATGCCCTTGTCAAAAATAAACTGACCATATGTATGTGTCTGTCCGTTTCTAGATTGTTTCACTGCCTGTGTACATATTCTAAATGTCTCTTTTTACCAGTAACAAACTGTCTTTCTTCTATAGTTTTATAATCAACCTTGAAATCAGCTAGGATAAATTCTCCAATTTTGTCTTTCTTTTAAAAAATTGCTTTGGTGGGCGGCGCCTGTGGCTCAAAGGAGTAGGGCACCAGGCCCCATATACCGGAGGTGGCAGGTTCAAACCTGGCCCTGGCCAAAAAGACTGCAAAAAAAAAAAAAAAATTTCTTTGATTATTATAGATTCTTTGCTTTTCCATATGAACTTTAGAATCAGCTTGTCAATATTTACAACACAGTTTGCTGGAATTTCCAGAGATTGGGTTGAATCTATAAATGAACATGGTGAAAACTTACATTTTAACAATATTGAGCTTTGAAATTTATGAATGAGATTGATCTTTTCATTAATTTAGGTTTCTCGAGTCAAAAAAAGGCATCAGCATTTATAAACATATAAAACATGCCTGACACAATAATAGGTCCTTTACATGCATCATATGAATTAAAGCTCGCCATTCCTTTTATTAGACAGGTTATACACAGAAGGAAAGGAGATGATGGAGAGGGTAAGTAACTCCTAGTGGCCAACTAAGTATCATAAAAAGGAATTTAGGCTTTCATCTGACTCTAAAATATAGCCTTTTCTATTCACCCGTCTACATAATTTGCCTATAACCAGAGTTAAGTGAGGGCCATTATTTATGACTGCAAACCTCTCTCCCAAGTGTTCCAGTAAGGAAACAGAATTAAGTTGTGAGGAGGCATATGGGTACCAAACATTAAATTATAGTTTGCAAATGGCCTTTGAGAATTGAATGTGCCAATTATACCCTTTGGGTTTCTACCTTGTTCAAATCACTTGGGACTCAGGTTAATGAACAGCATGAAATTCTTGGACCTATTGCAAAAAATATATTTCCATTTACAAAGTATCCACGCAGACTGGTTTGGGATCTGAAAAAAGGAAAAGGTTTTATAAAAGGTCTGACAGCTTTGGATATAATTTCAGGAATCCTGGTTATGGAAATTCAGTGACCTTTACAAATTTGCCCATGGCCAAAAAATAAAAATAGAAAAAAATATGGAAAGTGATTGTAATTAAAATTAACCAAAGTTCTTGATCCATTCCTGATAAGGAGTAAGCTAAGGTTTAATATTTAAAAATAATTTACGAAGAGAAGAGTTATGGTTCAAGGTCTACCTCAGGTATTTCTATTAACATTTCGTGAAAGGGCTTTCTAGGGCTCCTTCTGTCCCTGCACCCAGTCTAGAGAAGAGTGGAGACAACTGTCCACTCATTTCATAGCCCTTGTCTGAAACTATTTAATGGAAGACTCGAGAAGGGTACACGGTGCAGGCTTGAAGTGTCTTGCGCTTGGTGATTTCACCTTGTGAAAAAACAGTAAGGAGAACAAGAGTCAGGCCGGCTAGAGCAGATATGGCCCAGCTGGCCTGGTCAGTTCAGGTCCTGACTGACCTTCGCCCCCTGCCTCCCATTCTTACTGTTTTGTAATTTTAGCTCCGACTAAAGATGTCTATCTTGAGTAGTTTTAGGTGGATTGATTTAGGAGATTAACTTTTGAACTGGAATGTTGTAAGAGGTCACTGAATTATGCTGATTATTACTTAAAATAAGGATTAATGAGGACTTTGCTTTGAATTATTTATTTATTTATTTTTGTAGAGACAGAGTCTCATTTTGTTGCCCTCAGTAGAGTGCTATGGCGTCACAGCTCACAGCAACTTCCAACTCTTGGGCTTAGGCGATTCTCTTGCCTCAGCCTCCCCAATAGCTGGGACTACAGGCACCCGCCACAACGCCCAGCTATTTTTTTGTTGCAGTTTGGCCGGGGCCGGGTTTGAACCCGCCACCCTAGGTATAGGGGGCCGGTGCCTGCCCACTGAGCCACAGGCGCCGTCCTGCTTTGAATTTTTATTTATGTATAAAATTGTGATTTTGGAAGTGGTGGAACAGAACAGTCTTGGAAAGTCTACTCTCACTGTTCTCCAGAAACCGGGCCTTGTGACAAAGTTTGGTGGACCTATCCCCCTCTCTGCATATCGGCTGACGGTGACAGGCAGCGGGACCCTCTTCATCTGGTAACACTTGTATACAAGCAAAAATCAGAGTGGAAGGCTGCTGGGCGCGCGTACCCGAAGCTGGGCGCACCCCGCCCCCCCCCCATGCTGGGCGCACCCTCCCCCTGCTGGGCGCTGTCCATCCTCCAATGCTTTGAAGCCTCACTAACACCTGAGACGAATCGCCCGGAGTGGGTGGCCCCTGGGCGGTCTGAAGCCGGGAGCCCACGCACTAGCGCCAGCTTCTGAGCTTAGCGAGAAACCCCCAGCCTAGCTGAGCGGGTTGTTTATGGTGAAAGTGAGGGGCCTGTCGGGTGGGGGTGACAGACAACAGGTGCAGCACCGGGATCCTTCAGACTGCCTCCTCGGCTCACCTGTCCTGAAAGACGGCCCCACTGGGGGCGTGGAAAGGAACCTGAGTCCTGCGGAGGAGGGCCACCAGTTAAAGCGGCCGGGGGAGGAGGATGCCACCGGCTGCGACTAGGGGTCGCGGCCTCTCGTCGGACTCCGGGCGGAGAGGAGCCTCAGCGGGTGCTAGAGCTGCGCGCCGCCCGGCCGGGTCTCCCGGAGGCTGAGAGGACTTGACGCCTCCCCGCCGCCGCTGCTGACTGTCGGCGCAGCTCCCTCCGGGCGCCCCCTCCGCGCTCTAGCGGGCTGCAGGTGAGTTGAGCCGGCGCCGCCCGGAGGCATCAGGTGTCTTGGGAACTGCGCCCTCAGGGCGCAGGCAGGGACAGTGATGCCTACGGCTATTGGGGACCGAGAGCGGAAGGGTCCGGCCCTTTGTCATCAGTGCCATGGAGGGCACACAGGTGGGAGCGGGGTGCGAGCTTCAGCTGTTCCGCACAGCCCCGGTTGCACCACAGGCCAAAGGTCAGTGGTGGCGCGCTCGGGAGGGTTCTCGGGACCCGCGGGTACGGTCGGCGGCGTCCCCGCGGGGTTAGTTCTTGCCCGCAACAGCAGCGGATCGGGGCTTTGCTCCTCGGCTCCCCCCGGGCCACCGCCCACCGGGAAGCCGGAGACAAGTTCGCGGAGAACTGAAGCTACCTGGGCCCGGAGCTTCAGGCCTAGGGCGCGGGCGGCCGTCTGGACGCCGGCCAGGTTCTCGGAGATGGTCTTAAGGTTGCTCTGCCGGCCTCTCTTAACTCGGGTCGTCTCTTTCTTAGAGGTGTGCGGGGAGGATGGAAATGGGGGCTACAGCTGGGGGCGCTTCGGCGGCTGAGAGCGGCCTCCAGCAGGGCTCGGGCCG